AGCTTATAAAAGACATACTAAAAATAAATAGGAATAAATCAAAATACACTGCTAGAGAAAACCACTCAATCACAAAGAAGACAGTAAGATTTTTTTAAAAAAGAATTAACAAAACAACAAGAAAACAAGTAACAAAATGGCAGTAGCAAGTCTCTATATATCAACAATAACTCAAAATATAAATGCCCCAATTGAAAGACACAGAGTGGTTCACTGGATTATAAAAGAAGAACCAATAATATACTGCCTATGAGAAACTCACTTCATCTATGAATACACACGCCAACTGTGTGAAGGGATGGAAAAAGATGTTTCATGTAAATAGAAACCAAAAATGTGCAGAGGTAGCTATATTTAGATAAAATAGACTTCAAGCCAAGGAAAGTAAAAAAGATAAGGCCTTTCGGAAAAAGATGTTTCATGTAAATAGAAACCAAAAATGTGCAAAGGTAGCTATATTTAGATAAAATAGACTTCAAGCCAAGGAAAGTAAAAAAGATAAGGCCTTTATATAATGGTAAAGAGATCATTTCAACTAAAGCCTACAACAATTCTAAATATATATGCACCCAACTCCAGAGCACTCAGTTATATAAAGGAATTACTATTATACCTAATGAGAAAAAAAGAATCCAATACTATAATAGTTGGGGAATTTAACACCTCACTGTCAGCAAAGGACAGATCATCCACTCAGAGAATTCACCAGGAAACATCAGAATTAATCTCTATTACAGACTGAATAGACCTAATGGGCATATACAGAACATTTCATCCAACAGCTGCAAAATACACATTCTTCTCATCAACATATGAAACATTCTCTCAAGTAGACCATATGTTAGGTCACAAAACAAGTCTTAACAAATTTTATAAAACTTGAAATCATATCAACTATCTTGTCTAACCACAAAGGAATAAAACTAGAAATCAACAACAAAAGGAAAACTAGAAACCATACGAATATGTGGATGTTAAACAACATGATCTTAAACAATGAATGGGTCAAAGAAGAAATAAAAATTAAATTAAAAAATTCTTGGAGACAAATGAAAATGAAAACATAATGTAACAGAACGGGATATAGCAAAAGCAGTTCTAAGAGGGAAGTTTACAGCAGTAAATGCCTACATTAAAAAATAAGAAAGGCTTCAAATGAACACCCTAAAATTATACCTCATGGATCTGGAAAAACAAGAACAAACTAAGCCCAAAATCAGTAGAAGGAGAGAAATAAAGATCAGAACAGAAATAAATGAATTAGAGATAAAAAAAAAAAAGCAAGAAAATTGATAAAACAAAGAGCTGGATTTTGAAAGCAATTTTAAAAAATTGATAAACATTTAGCTAAACTAACAAAGAAAAAAAGAGAGAAAACTCAAATAAATAAAATCAGAAATGAAAAAGAGACATTACAAATGATACCACAGAGATACAAAGGATCATAAGAGACTACTACAAACAACTACATGTGAACAAACTGGAAAACTTAGAAGAAATGTATAAATTCCTGGAAACATATAACTTACCAAGGTTGAGTCATGAAGAACTAGAAAACATAAACAGACAAAGAATGAGTAATGAGTTTGAAGCAGTAATAAAAAGTCTCCCAATGAAAAGAACCCCAGGACCAGATAGCTTCACTGCTGGATTTTACCAAACATTTAAGGAAGTACTAATACCAATTCATTTCAGACAATTTCCAAAACACTGAAGAGGAAGGAATACTTCCAAACTCGTTCTGTGAGGACATTAACCTTATACCAAAACTAGAAAAACATACAAAAAAAAAAGGACAGGTACAGACTAATATCCTTAATGCACAAAGATGCAAAGATCCTCAACAAAATACTAGCAAACAGAATCAAGCAACTCATTAAAAAGATCATTCACCATGATCAGTCAAATGGGAATTATCTCACAGATACAAGGATAGTTCAACATATGCAAACCAATAAACATTATACATCATATCAAGAGAATAAAGGGAAAAAAATACAATGACTTCAATAGATGCAGAGATAGCATTTGATAAAATCCAACACCTTTTCATAATAAAAACACTTGACAAACTAGGTACAGAAGGAATGTCCCATACGTGACAAATCCACAGCAAATATCATACTGAGTGGGCAAAAATTGGAGGCTTTTCCTCTGAGATCTGGAACAAAACAAGTATGCTCACTTTCTCCACTCTTAGTCAGCACAGTACTAGAAGTTCTAGCCAGTGCAATAAGGCAAGTGAAAGCAATAAAGGGCATACAAATTGGAAAGGAGAAAGTTAAACTATCCCTATTTGCAGATGGCATGATCCTATATAAAGAAAACCCTGAAGACTCCACCAAAAAATTACTACAACTAATAAATGGATTCAGTATAGTGGCAGGATATAAAATCAACACACAAAAATCAGTAGCCTTCCTATACATCAATAATGAAATAGCTGAAGGAAACAACAACAAGAAAGCAATCCCATTCACAATAGCAACCAAAAGAAAAAAGAAATACCTAGGAGTAAATTGAGTGAAGGAAGTAAAAGACCTCTACAATAAAAACTATAAGACACATTGCTGAAAAAATTGGAGAGGACACAAATAAATGGATAGATATCCCATGTTTATGAGTTAGAAGAATTAACATCATCAAAATGTTAATATTACCCAAAGCAATCTACATGTTCAATGCAATCCCTCTAAAAATACTAATGGCACGGGCCGGCCCAGTGGCACACTGGAGAGTGCGCCACTTGGGAGCATGGCGGCCCTCCCGCCGAGGGTTCAGATCCCATGTGGAGACCGGTTCCCGCACACTGGCTGAGCGTGGTGCGGGCGCAACACCGAGGGTTGCGATCCCGTTACCGGTCAGTAAAAAAAACAAAAAGGAAAAAAAAAATACTAATGGCATTCTTCACAAAAATAGAAAAAAATGGTCTTAAAATTTGTATGGAATCACAAAAAAAAAAACTTGTATAGCCAAAGTAATCTGAATGAAAAGAACAATGTTGGAGGCATCACACTAATGGCATTCTTCACAAAAATAGAAAAAAAATGGTCTTAAAATTTGTATGGAATCACAAAAAAAAAAAACTTGTATAGCCAAAGTAATCTGAATGAAAAGAACAATGTTGGAGGCATCACACTTTCTGACTTCAAAATATACTCTGAAGCTATAGTACCCAAAACAGCATGGTACTGGCATAAAAATAGACAAATAGACCAATGGAACAGAATAGAGAGCCCAGAAACAAAATCACCCTTTTTTAGCCAACTTATTTTCAGAAAAAGGTACTAAGGGTACCAAGAATGTACAGAGGGGAAAGGACAGTCTCTTTCATAAATGGTGCTGGGAAAACTGGATATCCACATGCAGAAGATTGAAACTAGACTTCTATCTCTTATCATACTCAAAAATCAACTCAAAATGGATTTAGGACATAAATTTAAAACTCAAAGCAATGAAACTACTAGAGGAAAACATAGGGGAAACACTACAAGAAATGGGAGTGGGAAGCACTTTTTTGAACAAGACCACAAAGCCACAGGCAATTAAAGCAAAAATACACAAATGTGACTACATCAAACTAAAAAGCTTCTGCACAACAAAGGACACTTTAAACAAAGTGAAGAGACACTTACAGAATCAGAGAAATTGTTTACAAACTACACATAGGACAAGGAGCTAATATCCAGAATATATAAGGAACTCAACTCAACAACAAAAAACAATTAATTAATTAACTAATTAATAATACAATTAAAAAATAGGTAAATTACCTGAATAGACATTTCTCAAATGACAACATATAAATATCCAACAATCACATGAAAAAAATGCTAAAATCATCAGGGAAATACAAATTAAAACTGCAATGAGATATCATTTCACCCCAGTTAAAATGGCTGTTATCAACAAGACAGAAAACAGCAAATGCTGGCAAGGATGCAGAGAAAATGGAACCCTCCTACATTGTTGGTGAGAATGTAAATTGGTACAGCCATTGTAGAAAAACATTTGGAGGTTCCTCAGAGAACTGAAAACAGATGTACCATGTGATCCAGCTATCCCACTACCGGGTGTATTCCCAAAGAAAATGAAATCAATATGTCAAAAAGACACCTGCACTCCCATGTTTGTTGCAATGCTATTCACAATAGCCAACAGATAGAATCAACCTAAATGTCCATCAATATATGAACGGATAAAAAGTTGTGGTATATATATACAATGCAATACTATTGAGCTTTAAAAAGAAATGATAGCCTATCATTTCCAGCAAGATGAATAGAACTAGAAACCATCATATTAAGTCAAGGGAGTCAGGCATAGAAAGACAAATACTGCATGATCTCACTCCTATGTGGAATCTAAAAAAAAGGAAATAGTGATTCTCATGGAAGTAGACAGTAGAATAATATTTACCAGAGACTGGAAGGAGTGTGGGGAGGAAGGAGAAATGCTGGAAACTAATGGGTACAAAATTATGCTATTTACACTCAGTGATTCATTGTGTGGTATATGCACGTATTGAAACAAGTCATTGTACCCCACGAAAAGAAATATAAATAAAATTGAAAAAAAAAGAGTTCCTATGTTATAAAATTTGTCATAAGAATTAAACTAGATAATCCATATAAATTACTTAGAGTAGTTCCTAACACATAATAAATGCTCAAAAAACCATGTGGCTGAAAATGTAAATAATATTGATTATGTGCTTTTGATAAATTATTAACCAAGAATACTTTAACTTCATTATTTGTTTATACAAGTGAAAATGAGTTCATGTTTGGCACATTGAGGTCATAACAGAAGTAACTTCTATTATACTTGCTTGCTATTTTGCAATATTTACATAAATATGTGCCCAATCTGGAAAGACAGCATTAATCAGTATTGTAATCACTCTAAGAAGGCTATAAAAACAAGAGTCTATCTTTCTTTCACCGAAGAATAGCACAACTCTCAGACATTTTGAGCTCTGTCCCAACTTCATTCAAGTAACTACATCAGCAATGAAGATATTTTGGTTTTTTCTGACCTTTGTCTTCGCTGTGTCTTGTGGTCCAGCAGGTAATATTTGTTAATATGGAAATAATGTAAAGGGCAAAATGTTTTTATAAATGCTTTATCTGAAAAAAAAAATTATTGTTAGGAGTCTCAATGTGAACTCCTTATAAGGCAATTTTCTCTATTTTTTCATGGAATAAGAAATGAGTAGTACCGACAGGTGAGAAAATAATGGGAAAAAATTTTCCACAAGATGTAGAATTAAACCTATTTATTTTGTTGGTTGTGTGATGGGACTATGACTCCTTAGATATTTGCTACTGCCTTCTTTATTAAAATGCAGTTTCTTGAACTGATATTGTAGCTGTTGTAAAAATTAAGCTCCTAGCCCAGTAATAGGGGAGTGGAGGTGGATGTGAATGGTTATTTAGAACAAAAAACATGTAGAATATTTTTCCCATGTCCTTTTCTCTTTACTTTTTAGGGAGCATACACAAATTAAATATTTAAGAATGTTCTATTTACCAAAAAGTAAAAATAAAAATAGAAAAAGCTAGTGGCAAAGAATGTATGTTCAATAAATATCTTCAATAGAGTTCCCTGGTCATGATTTTATAAACAAAGTGGCTTAACTCTATACTTTAAAGAACTTTATCTATGTATCTATCTATCTATCTATCTATCTATCTAAGGAGCTTAAACCTGGATTTATAATCATAGCTACTGTTTCTTAGTTCCACAGCAAAAAACAAGAGAAGTTGCAGAGAAAAAAAGAGAATGTCGCCTTGTTCGTGGTGCTTGCAAGCTTGAATGCAATTCCTGGGAATACATATATAATTACTGCAATATTGACTCTGAACCTTGCTGTGTGGTAAGGGAATACCAAAAGCCAGTCATAAAAAACTCAATTATCGGACCTAAAACAGATGTAAATTACAATTATGTTACATAGCACTACTTTGTAGCAATATTATTAATAAAAATTAACTTTTACTTTCTATCAATCTATTTTCAAGTGAGTGTCTTCTGGCCTTCTGGATTACTATATCATGACTAGTGAGTTCAATGTTGGGTGAGTACAAAAGAAATAAATTTGAAATACTGGTAGGATCTTCTTCATTAAATTGGCAGAATTTTTTTCCTCCCACGAGATAAAAAACTTCTATCCTTAATGCTCCCCTTCACCTCTGGTCTATTTATTTGCCTTGTGCAGAAGCCTACTTATTTTCATATAATTTTTGAAATATCAATTAACAATCATGGTTTATGCTACCTTTCCATACTCTCAAGAAAAATGAGTTTGGATCTTGGACACAAAGTTTTATATATCTTAATCATATAATAGGGCAGTATTGATACAAATAATTATAAGAACAAACAAACAGAACTAAAAAGGGAGTAAAAGGGAATATATTAAGGTCTTACCTATTAAAAATACATCAAGAAAAATAGCAGGAGAAAATATAGTAAATCTTTAGAGTAATTATTTTAAAGAGACGGGTTTATGGTTGAATTATTTTCCTCTTTATAATATGATGTTGTTTTCACATATATACAATTTTATAATCAGAATAAAAACAAATTAAAATCATTTGGGATCTATTTTTTCTTATTATAAAACAATATGAAAATTTGGAAAAATACAGAAATAGGGTTTATGGTTGAATTATTTTCCTCTTTATAATATGATGTTGTTTTCACATATATACAATTTTATAATCAGAATAAAAACAAATTAAAAACATTTGGGATCTATTTTTTCTTATTATAAAACAATATGAAAATTTGGAAAAATACAGAAATAACCACAGATAAAAAGAAAAGTCATTTCTAATTCTACAATTCAGAGTTGACTATTATCATCAGTCTTGGACATAGGCATTCAATTCAAGGGCCTTCTCTCCTGGCCCTCAAGAATTTTATTAGTCAGTCTTGGACATAGGCATTCAATTCAAGGGCCTTCTCTCCTGGCCCTCAAGAATTTTATTTAACTTCTCTCACCTAATAACTAAATATTTAATGCTTTTGCCTTTGTTCTTGCCTTCAATGAAATCATTGTGTTTCTATGTTTCCACAGTTTACATTAATTTCTGTCATAATATTGAATTAATTTTAATATAAATTTTCTTATGAATTATAAAGCATCAGTAAAAGCTCTACATTCAGAATTTGAAGTATCCATCGAATATATTTGTTCCTTTTACCTATAGAACTGATATGAGCAATACTAAAATTTATGGCATAATTTTGACTCAAAGGAAATCAAAAAACTTTAGTGAATTTGAGGTTTAAGAGGAATGGATGATTTCCAATTTTCTTTCTTGGAGAGTTTGCCTAACAATGTGATCATTCATTAGAAAATATTGTAAGAGGAGCAGACTGGGAATGGAAAATTATGACATGTTAAGTTTAGACTTTTCTGTTATATGCATGTGTGAAGCTCAGGAAAGAAAAATGTGCTTCAAATATAGATTTATGGCAACCTTTACGGAAGCCCAAAGAAAGGCTGCCAATTGAGAAGAAAAAAATGTCTAAAGTTTCAAACAATAACATTTAAAGTACATGAGGAAAAATTGCAATCCATAGAGGAGGTTAAGAAGAAGCTCGCCAATGAGAATTCATTCTCAGGCTTTGTATCTTCTCAGGTGAGGTCCCAGACATAGAAGAGACTAGGCAATCCCATCCCCATCATGCTCTGTGTTAATTTTTGTCCCACACAAACCATGAGCATAATAAAATGTTTTTTGATTTTTTCAAATCAACAAGTTTTAGAGTATTTTATGCACAACAATATTAACTAAAGCACAGTATATCTTCCAAACTACAGAAATTGTTTTAAAGAAAAGTGACAATAAATAAAGAATTGTGTGCAGAACTTCTGGATCAGTAAGGTAAAAATCTCTGAAAATCAGCTCCTTCATGAAAGCAACAAAAACAATGGCATAAAATTGTCCATATCAACTTTGTAAGAGTTCTGCAAATTAAGCAGACTTGCAAAAAATCCATGAAGCCTTTTGTTCAAGAAAAAATTCTGAATCTCAATCAGAACAGTAAAATTTGTGACATTCTAATGCCTTATTTCTATTCCCCTCTCTCCAGCTCTACAGTAGCCTTGAAAATCAGCAATCTTCCAACTATGGTAGCTGTGAATATATAAACAATACCAACAATTCAATAACAAAAGTACACTAACCCAATTAAAAAGTGAGCAAAAGATTTAAATAGACATTTCTCTAAAGAAGATTTACAACTGTTCAGCAAGCTTGTGAAAAGGTGTTTAATCTCAACAGACATCAAAAAAATGCAGATCAATACTACAATGTGATACCACTCCAATCCATTAGGAGGGTTATAATCAAAACAACAGATAATAACAAAAGTTTACTAGTATGTGAAGGAAAAATTAGAATACTACAATATAGATAAACTTTGAAAATATGCTAAGTGAAAGCAGCTAGTCACAAATAGTCAATTATTACATGATTTCATTTATATAAAATATCCAAAAAAGGCAAATCCGTAGAGACAGAGGTAGAATAGTGGTTTACTAGGGATCAGGGGCAGAGAGAACTTAAGGGGTGATAGCTAGAGAGTATAGGGTTTCTTTGGAGGTGATTGGGTTCAGGATATGATGCCCCCAAATATGGTACCTTGGTATTTGAAAAAACAGCAGAAGCAGGAAGATCATTCTCACTTTTCTCTCCATTCTTCTCTCCTGAAGCAGACCATAAAGTCTAGATGAACTTCCTGTAATATGGGTACTACATTCCAGTAGTACCTTCCCTATGTGCCAAAGGAAAGTGACATCCTTATCTTTGAAGGCACAGAAACATCAAGAAGAATCTGAGCCTTAAAAGACCTGCTAAGTTCCCTCTAGTTTATTACTATTAGATCATACCCCTTGTGTTCAATTATACTTCTACACAACTATCCACTCTTTCTCAAACCTAAGCATAAAAATGCTCAAATATACCTGTTTCTTTGGGTCTTCATTTCTGAAGACTCCTGTGTCACATACAACTTACATTAAATAATTTTTTATGCTTTTCTCTTGTTAATCTGTCTTTTGTAATGGGGACCTAGCCACAAACCTGGTGATGGATGAGAAAAGAATTTTTTCTCCCCTGTAGGGTAATCAAAACAGTCTAAAGTTGATTGTGAATTACATGGCTCTGTGAATATACTAAGCATCGTTGCATTGTATGTATTAAACAGGTAAATTGTTTGGCATGTGAATTATATCTCCATAATGTTAAGAAAGAATGAATGCAAACTTCCTGTCAGAGATTATGCAAGACAAAAGACAATGTATCAACACCTTTTAATACTGGAAAATTCTGCCAACCTAGAATTCTACGAAGTGAAAAAAAATGTTAAAAGTGAAAGTGAAATAAGGACATTTTTAAGCAAAAATGAGAGAGAGAGAGAGAGAGAGAGAGAGAGACCTGAAAGAACACATTGCCAGCAGTAATTTTTTGAAAAAATTTTAATCAAAATTAGTCCAGAAAAAGTTCACAAGATTAGATTGGATTCACACAAAGGAACAAATGAAGCTGGAATTAGTAAATTTGTGGGTAAATGTAAGAGATTCTTTACTTTAAATTTTAATTTTTATAAAAGATAATTGGTTACTAAAAGCAAAAATAATAATTTGTGCAGTTATCATTTGAGCAGTTTATAGCATTGCAGAAGGAAATAAGCAGCGATAATAGCGCAAAGCACAGGAAGGGGAAATAAAAGTATAGGGTTGTGAGCCTCTTGTATTATGTATAAAAGTTAAAGACATATATTATAAATCATAGAGCAAGGATAAAAATTAATATATATATATATATCCAATAAGGTAGGTAAGCTATAATCATAAAAATGAATAATCACTTCCTGGCCTTTTGGCTAAGATCAAGTGTAGTATCAGCTCTTAATCAGTTTAATAAAAATGATTAGACAAGAAAACTCCAATCCACAGAGAGGAACAGAAGATAAGGGGAACAAAGGCAAGGACAAAAAATAGAAAATAACAAGATGGCAGGTTTAATCACAACAATGTCATAATTTTACTAAATATAAATACTGTGAACACAGCAATTAAAAGGCAGAGACTGTAAGATAGGATATTGTATTAGTTATTTATTTCTGCATATCAAATTACCCCTATAAGTTATAGCTTCAAACCTTTACTATAGCACAGATTCTGTGCAGAAGGGTGCCAGAAACAGCTTAACTTGATGCCTGTTTTAAGGTCTGTGATGAGGTTTCACTCAAGCAGGCGACCTGGTTTGCAGTCATCTCAAGACTCAACTAAGTGGAAATATCTGCTTCTAAGCTCATGTGTGTTGTGAATGGCAGTCTTCAGTTCTTGAGGACTATTGGACTTAGGGCTCCAGTTTTTTCACAAGTGTTAAATAGAGGGCCTCAGATTCTCAACACATCATTTGGGCCTCTCCATACAAATTTTCACAGCATAGCACCTTGCTTTCCCCAGCATAAGTGATCTGAGTGACAGAGAAAGAGAGACTTAGGTAGTGAGAGAGAAAAAATAAAAAAGAGGGACAGAGAGAGACAGACAGAGACAGAAAAAGAGAGATCTCAAGACTGTAACCATAGTCTTTTTGAATGGATATATTAGAAAATAAGAAATGTTTCAAATCAGTAACTTAATTTTCTACTTAAGAATGTACAAAAAGGGCAAATTAACCCAATTTTATCAAAACATGCACTTCAATGAAGTACTTAACTTTATTTAACTGAAGGAAGGAAATAATAAGATCAGCAATTGATTAAATAGGAAATGGACAAATATTAGAAAAAAACAAGAACAAAGGCTGATTTTTTAAAAGCAAAAACTGTCTTTCAGAAACCTTAGCAAGATTGATCTAAAGAGAAGGAAAGACAGAGTTAGAAAGAGAGAATGAGAGAGAGAACACAAATTACCAATATCAGGAATGAAATGGGAGTAGTCACTACAGACACAGCAGATACTAAAAGAGCAATTAAGGAATACAACAAAA